CCATTAGCAAACTTCCTTTCAAAAGAAGTCTTGATTAAACTAAACTCACTAACCATACCATGGGATAGTAATTACAGTTCATGTAGACGACATGAAGTAATACTAACAACATCAGACCTAGTTTCTGCACAGATGCTGTTAAGACTTTTGTGGTGCGCACAGAGCAGGGAGTCATCTGTGTCACTTCTGCTATTTCCATGGCATCTGACGAGCTCTTAGGAAAGCTCATGTGTGTATATGACAGGAATGGAAGATGGTCCTCTCATAACTCGCAGGTGAAGACTAATATTGGGAAGGGGAACTGGGCATGGTCAGCAGAGTAAGGAAGTGTATCAGGTATTTGCTTCCATGGTTTTGTGGAGATGGGGAAGATTCTTTTATTCTCCAAATATTCTGCCAAATGCTGTCAAGTGGATGGAGGTGGTGATTTCCATTGTAGATGCACACATTATCAGATGCCTGGCTCTGGATCGGGGTGTGCCCAGATCCTCAAGTCTGTCAGTGGGTGGACAAATCGATCATCTCCCTTATCAAGCTTGGTAAGGAAAGGGAGGTGAGCAAATGGCATTGTCTCCCAAGTATCTCGTACTGGAAGAGTTGCCCGACTGGCTTTTTCTCTTAGGGAATACATCTGGCCCTTGTCTTTCTGCCTTTCAGAGCAACAAAAGAATAAAGTGCTAAACTGCTATTCCTTGCTTCGGGCAATTCTTTCTCAATGTGAACAGACTGAAGTCTTAAATGCACTGTTGGTTTAATGGCTTAGTATTTTGGGAGCCTAGATGCAGGAAGGTCTTGAGATTTGGTGGCTTTCATTTGTGGTGTTGTGTGCGCTGGTTTTTTGGGGGGTTGGTTGGTTTGTTTGTTTTAAAAAAAGCATAGGTCTAGAGTTGTTTACTATCCAGGTTAAATATGCTCAGTGCCAGAGCAATGTGTGTGCAGGAGACTGATTTTTCAGGTACTAATCTTGGTTGCTTTGCTGTAGAAATGAGTTCTTCAAATAGTTGTGCACTTTAAAGCTATTTAAACTCTAAGACTGTAGCTTATGTGATAATACAGGCAGGAGGTTATGTTTATTTTAATACAGCTATATAAATATACTACTTTGTTTTATTCAGATTTCGAGGCTTTGATACTTTTGTTTTCTTTTGTCTTTAGATTTTAATCTCCTAATATATTTGAGAGACAGTTATCTTTAAATGAGCGAATTGTCTGTGGAGGAAGTAGCTGTACCAAAAAAGGAATGCTACATCACTTGCTGAGTACAGCTGAGAAACTAAAATAGCTAGACACACAACTGCCAGTAAAATTACATTGGTAAGCAGGATTATCCATATATCTACTAGTAAAATAAAGTAAATGACATCACACACAGCTGAAATCTGTCTCCATCTGTGGAAATCAGCTTCAGTTTTGTGGGCCAGGTTAGTGCAGTGTGCTGATATCCAGTGTGAAATGCACACTGCGCTTCCAAAAATGATGCTTAAGCTTTTAGATTTGAAGTAATTGGTCACATCCTTTAAGTCTTGTACAGTTACTGTAGAAACACCAGAGGAGGGATGCTGTTATAATGCATAGCAAGAGGTGGTGTAGCAACTTGGAGATTTCGGGGGAGTATTGATGCAAACAGGAAAACTACTAGAAGATGCTTGGTTGTTGTGGCTATCTGTGTCAATGGTACTGATTGTGCTCAAGCTTCCTGCTGCTCCTGTTCCATGTGTTTCTGCATCAGTCAGCTGCAGGGATCTTTTCCCTGCATACCAATCTATCATGTATCGATTGAGGGTAAAAGTGAATTTGCTGACCTTCAGCTACGCTCACTGACAGCTAGTTGGCTTTTCTACTGTTAAATTGCCTGGTAGCTTTAACCAAGACTAGATGACTTTGCCTGTGTGAAGGAGGTGATGATGCCAGAGTTGGCAGCAGCATCATGCCACACAGTGCCAGCTCTGGCTGAAAGAAACTTCACAGTACTGGTTCCTGTTATTATTTGGTAAATGTGCTGATGTTTTTTGGTTTAGTCCTATCTACCCACTTGTAGTCAACAAATAGCAGTTTTTCTAACATTTCTGTTACAGCAGTATGGAATACTAATTAGTAATGATAGATTGTGGGGTTAAGTTTCTTGTTCTTTGGTTTTAAAAGTGCTTTCTGGAAGAATTCTTTAAAAGAAGGAAAGTGAGTACTAAAATAGAGATTTTTCTGACTCCTGATTTGACCAGTAACATAAAGATTTGTTAGCTGGGGAAAGCTATCTCCCTTTACTGTGTTTGCTTTTTGCTAGTGTTCTCATTTAACTTGAGGTCATCTTCAGCTGAGCTTTATGATCTTCTTACAGTTACTGCAATAAGCTTTCTGCCTGGAGATCAATTGTTTCTCAAAATTCCATTCTGTCCCAATTCTTGTTTCTACCAGATTTTAGAGGATGACACATTCAGAGGATAAATTGCTGTTTAAATTTAAAAATGATTTTTTTTTTAAATTAGCAGTGGTGCTACCTGACAACAGAACAAGTGGAAAAGTATAGACCAAGAATCTGTGAAGTAGAAGATACAAATGGTTTCGCTTTCCTATGTTTCATAGCAAGAAGCTTACATGTGTAGGCTGCTAGTAGCTATTTAAATAACTTTAGACTATTTTTTGAGAATTTGGGACAGGTGCATAGATGACCAGTAACTGCTGGCATGTAATTATGCAGCCGTCTGACAGTTGGTAGTGGTTATGATGTTCAGGCATTTCCTTTGTATCTCTTCTTTGGCAAAATACATTTCTGCCCTTACAAAGCCTGTGTTATGTTGTTAGGATTAACAAGGCTTTCCTTGTCTCACACTTAATGGTTATAATTTCAGCTAGAAGGACAAGGAAAGGTGAGAGCCATTAGAGCTGCTGGGTTACTAAACAGGGTATTCCACAGGGACAAATATTAGAGGAAATGTTCTGTTGTCTACAGAATTTCATCACAGTGAAGGGTGTTTGGTCTCATATTCCTTCTGTTTCCAAATCCCCTGTTATTTGGGTGAAGTGATGTTTTTGACTTTGTTGTCAGGCATTTGGCCTAGCTGGGAATAAAACCATTGGGGTGTTTTGACTGTTGCTTTTTTTTTTTTTGGCCTTAGGATGAAAGGTCTTTGGACTGTATTAGAGTTGTATTTGGTTAGGCTTCTACAGATTAGTTTGCTGAACTGGAATTTGAGCAGTCTGGACTCTTTTGAAAGGCATTTCAGCATCTGAAACGTAGGTAAGCTCTGCTGCAGTGGAGCAGCAGCTTGCCTATACGTATTGAAGAATCTGAGCATCCATTTTCTGTTGACTCCAGTTTAGCATGAATTGTCAAATTCTGAGCATCCAGATCCAGGTTTTAAACTGCCGTGATGGTACCAGTTATGCCTTTTCATGTCAGTATTGTGTTAAGTGATCTGCAGTGCACCATCCCTTCCCACTGCAGAGGAGTGTGATCTCCTGGAGACCTGCTTGACATGCCCTGTAGCTCCTCTGCTGCTCTCTGCCATCCACAACTCCATTGGTACGGGTAAAGGCCCGATGGATGCAGATTGCAAATGTACCCCAGATGTGTTACGATCTAGTTTTGTGGTGTGGAAGTGAATGCATCCTAGGATAGAGCTATACGTGATTAAGTATCCTTACTTAAAATCAGGTAGTAGTTCTTTGTGTTGTCCTAAATTCAATTAAAACCTGTTATTTTTCTTAAGAAAACATATGGTTCAGTGTTTGAGGATTTTTCTGGAGTTTTACAATTTTTAAAATAAATGAGGAAGAAAATGTGAGGAAGATTAGATATATATTACACATTCAGGAGAGGATGGGGATGTAAAGTGAGATTTATACATTTGACTGTGTCTGGTTTTGGGCTTCTTAGAGCAAGAAAGATGGTAATTTATTTGAGAAAGTTCAGTGGTGGCCACAAAGGTGGACAGAGCATGACTTGTGAGAGGAGTCTGAATGAGCCAGGCTTGTTCAGCCAGAAAGAGAGAAGCCTTTGGGAGGACTTATTAGCAATTTTACGTAATTGGAATGTAAGTGTGAGAAGTTAAATTACTTAGAATTTCGAACTTTCTTAGAAGATCTCTGGATATCCCTACAAGTGTGAAGTTCTCCCACTTAAACAGCCTGAGCAAGTTACAAGTGGTGCCACAGAGATGCAGCCAGGCTTTTTTGTAAGTGCTGCTTTAGGGCAGCTGGAACTAAGGGTAGGCAATTACTCGACTGTATGAAGTGTAAGTTGGTGAAACACATGTGTGGAGCTCTTATATTTGTCAAGGAGATGGCAACCAGTGCTGTTGAGTTTCTCATAAAGAACTGTTGCGCTAGTCTGTGGCCAAGACTCTTACTAGAAGATGCTGTGTTGTAGCAAAGTTGTGTCAGAGCGGATCTTTTTTCTGATCCTGCTCTCAGCAGGGGTTGCTTGGCACCCTCTCACCCTGCTCTGCACCTTACTCCTGATGACTTTTAGCAGAAATTGGCTGAGCAAAACTGTATTAATTCCCACTTGCCTCCATATCCATGTGTTGCAGAGTTCTAGCGAAAGGAGATGAAATTACGTAACTCGTCTTGAAACTGCTTTTGAAGAATCTTCTGGTAATCTGATAAAAGTAGACGATTCTGTTCACCTTCTGATAGTTGTTAGTGGCTCTTTAATTGCCATAGGACTGCCAGTGCCGAAACAGTGTGGACAGGCTGCAGGACTGGTTTTACTTGTAGCTGAAGCAGAAGAGCTGCTCTTTCTACATTATCTCTTAGAGGCAGTCTTATGAAACTGTTCATTGTCTTCAGGGCATACAGCCTTTTCTGTTCATGTTGCTCATTTTTTGTGTTGCTAAACTTCCTCCAAACAACCTATAACACTGATTTTTTTAAGCTAGAGAACAGGATTTTTTATTAAGTTGGCTGCATTGCTCTAATGTATTGTCACTGTTTTGTCATATGCAGTATAACAGATCCTGAAAGCTCTGTTTTTTTTTTTTTTCTCCCCCCAATAGGCTGGTGTTTGGGATGCTGTATCCTGCATATTACTCCTACAAAGCTGTGAAGACCAAAAATGTGAAGGAATATGTAAGTTGGGTTCCTTTTAATTGCTGACTTAAATGTCTCTGCTGACATACAACTGTGACATCGTCATTATGCAGTGCAATAAATCCTATAAAAGCTTGATTTGACTATCTTAGAATTAGATACAACCTGTGTGAATCTCGTGGTAATCCTGCGATTTTGTTTGGGGAGCTAAAGTTAAGGTTTTTCAGACTCTTCATTGACTTTGCTGAAATGTGTCCAATGCACCATGCTGTATACGGATATTTTTAGGAGGAATTTTAAACATAAATCTTAGTGTTGGCTGCATTTCAGCGAAGCCCCCAGAATAATGTACTTTTGGGCAGGGCGGGGGCTAGAAAAAAGGTTTCCTAGTTCTGCCAACACCTGTAGTATAAGCAGTGACTAATTGGTTCTCAGTGACCACTGGAACAGTAGCAGCAGTTTAATCGTCATTGTATGGAGCTCAACAAAGGGATTCCAAATTTGCCTGAGAAAAGGGTAGCTCTGGTTAATCTATTGTTCCGCAAAGAGGAGGAAAATTGTAACTAGGGACGGTAAAGGTTTGGTTAAGGTGATGTGGAGGAAAGAGGCAGAACAGACAGAAGTCTAAGGTGGAGGAAAACACAATTAGTGCAGTAACTACAGCTTAGAGTTAATCTGTTAAATTATTTAATTTTCTGTGTGAGCAATGAGGATTACCACAAGAATGTTAACTAGCTGCAGTCACAAGTTGCTTTGGTCACTTCCCTGTTTTAAGAGGCAGCCTAAATTGATATTGGCAACTAACCACTATTCTTTCCTGAACCTTGGCCTTAACTTGGCTGCCTGACCCAGGATGGAGTCAGTGCCACCAGTTACCTCAACTCCACAGCCACAGCTGTGACTTAATACTACTGTCTGGATGTGTGATGTCTCTGCTTTGTGTGTGGTTGTAGTAGTAGAATGCTGTTGTTCCTCCCCCTGTATGTCTTCTATTTAGTCTGATTGCTCCATCAAGACTCCGAAGTGGACACCATGGTTATACGTCTCTGGTTTCTGTGTACAAGCTGGTTAGAGCTTATTTGTGCAGACTGAGCTAGTGCCTGCCAGAGCTAAGCTTCTGGGAGAAAAACTCATTAAAACAGGAGAAGAATTTCCTCTGCTTCATGCTTCCTTTACCCTGTCAGGAAAGTATATTATGCAAAGAATTTATCTGCTTTTCCTCCCTGCTCCCGCTAAAGGGATCCACAGGCTAAGTAGAGGATAGCAGTTTCCAACTCTAATACAAGAAATCACTTTAATTTAAGAGGTTACCATTGTCTCTTGCAGTATGTTTTCGAGACAAAGACAAATGTTTGCAGAATGCTGAGATTTTGACTCTTATCTCAATTGTCCAGTTAGCTATGACTTAGCTGTCCTTCTTGGGTGTTCTTTTTTAGAGATTTTTTTCAGTCACCTGTGGTCTTTGAGCATTCCCTGATCTTGCAGCTTCTTACAAAATGTTCATGGGGACATGAATGAGACCCATCACAGTCACTTTTTCATGGGTGGGGAATGACATTGAGTCATAGGTGAATTAACCACTCCCTTGCTGGTTGGGTTGAGTGTCCAGATAGATCTTGGGGACAACCCATGGCTTTGTTCTTCCCTGCTGGGTCACTTTCTTTCATGGAGAGGGTGTAGGTTGAAGCACAGCTCTGCTGCCAGTGATGTTATGGCCCAAGCACAACTTCCTTTCCAGGGTTATGTGTGGTTCAG